ATTACTTCATGAAACCTTTTAAGTTTTATTGAAAACTTTTATTTTTTATTTCTAAATTAGTTAGGTAAAAATAAATATTGGACTCGCTAAAATTTGGGGGCCCTCTAAAATTAGCGGGCCCTGTGCGATAGCCCAGCTTACACAGCCTAAAATCCGGCCCTGGAACTATCTACCTCTCGCTAGAATTAGACAAGTAAAATGTCTCGAAAATAATGGATTCAAGTTAAATCAGATACACATCATGTAACACAGGTAAGGGCGGAGCTACCCTTGAGGGTAGGGAGCCCTAACCCCCCCCCCCCCCAACCAACCCCACCCTAACCCCCAAAATTTTGTGTTTTAGTCTATATATATATGAAATTTCCGGAAATATACACAAATCTACTTTACCGCCTCACAGAATGATACCACTAAATGACTGCACAAAATATTAAAGTGGCTTGTTGATACAAGTAAAGTTTTGTAAAGATGATATAAACTCTTATAAAAATTAAAATGATTAAAATCTTACATATAATAAAGCTATATAGTTGGGAAATAATTAATGTTACAATTAATTACCAACATTATTATTATTACTAGCTATAAATATAAAATAGCCACAACACCTTTTACTATAATAAATAAAATAAAAAAAAAAAGAAGCACAACATTTGAAAAATAAAATAGCTATTTTTTTTCTTGCCCATAACAAAGGATTACATTTATTGAATTAATGGAGTTATTAAATGTTATGATATTAGGATTAAGGATTCTGATTCCCGATTAATAGAAAATATGAAACAATGCAATATTAGTTAAATCTCTGGCTTTACAATGAAAGTCTATTTGATATGCTTTTGTTATTTATGGTGGTTCTTGGGATTACAATATTAATTAAATTTTCGATGAAAGCCTATTCAATATCTGAAACAGTGCAATTAATGCAAGCATCTACATATAATTTTTCTCCATCTCAAATGCTTCAAAGAAATGGCAGAAGCGAGAAGGAATGAAGAAAGCAAATGTTGCGGGCCGTGGGTCAATTATTGGACTTCAGAATTAAAAAAAAAAAATCATTTAAGCCATAAATAAAAATTTAAATATATATAAATGTATATATCGTATAGGTCTTTAATGTTTTTCTGGATGTCTAAACTTAGGACTTTTAAAAGAAAAAAAATACATTTTAATTATCTCCACAAAAAGTGGTCTTGGACTTATAAAATGACATTTGAGTTTATGGAATGCCATGTGCATAAAGAATATATTATATAATCATATAAAAAAAATATGTTCAAATAAAGTTTAAATTTACTCATACAAAATTTGAAATTTGCTTTCTAAATGTAATTATCTTAGTTATTATTCGTATAGTGAAAATTATAATATAGATGAAATACAATTAAGAATAAATCAATGTAATTATGTAAATTCTCTCTATAAATTTATTTGAATATGTACATAATTAGAGATTATATTAACCATACAAAATTTTAATTATAATTTTGTATTCTATAAAAATAATAAATACTTGACCAATGGAAGCTCAAAAATATTATTATATTAAACAATTTAAAATATTTTTATTTTTTCTATTTTTTTAATTTATATTTATAATAACATAATTTTGTTCCCGTGCATCGCGCGGGTGAATTACTAGTTGCACTAGAATAAGATAGTAAATTTGATTATCTTGATATAGTTGTGATTATAAAGAATTAAATATCATTATATTCTAAATAACAAATTTTATTAAAATAATTTAATGATGTTGGTATTTAGGAATAGTATAAAATTATTAATATCTACCCCGAAAAATAATTCAAGATGATGATATGTGTACTATGTGATATTGTAAATAAATTTTAAAAATTCATTTCATATCATCGATCAACATGTTAGTATAAGTTATTATTTCCTTTATATGTTTTATATTATGTGGCTTAGATAGCTTGACTTAGTTTAGCTATTTGATAGGATTAGTTAGAGTTAGATATACTCTGTAATCCTGATGTTACGATCATTAACAAAATCCTTTCTCCAATCTGGTATCAGACTAGGATTTTTCGATCTCTCAAACCTCCACCACAAATCTTCCCCTCCCTTCCCGCACTTCACACAGCCATGTCGTCCGGTTCCGATCGCACAGCTTCCGACAGTGGAGCTCCGGCAGCCGGTGGTTCCCTCGCCGGGGCTCATCATTAAGTTCGATGAAGCTCACGCTAAAGAACTATCTCTTTTGGCGAATGCAGATCGTTTCTTTCCTCCGTGGCCAGGAGCTTCTGGGCTTCGTCGACGGCAGCCTTCCCTGCCCATCGGAGATGATCGTCGGCACACCGGCTTTCGACGACGCCTCATCCAGTCGCACTGCTCCGTCCGACACTCCCAATCCGACCTTCAAGGCCTGGATGAAACAAGACCAGACCATCATCTCTCTCTTGGTCTCGTCTATGGCGGATGAGACGTTACACCTTGCGCTTGGGAGGAACACGGCGGCTGAGATATGGTCCTCCATCACCGGCGCGCTGGGATCTTCAAGTCAGGCGAGATGCCTCAATTTACTGTCGCAGTTTCAGATGCTCCGGCAGGGGAACGCGACCACAGCAGATTACCTTGGGCGTGCCGGCGTTCTCGTGGAGGCATTGCTTCAGGCCGGCCGGCCATTGACGTTGATGGAACAGAATCTGTACATCATACGTGGGCTTCGTCCGAAGCTCAAACCTCTCGCCACCGCGCTTACAGCCACCGGGAATCCGGTCTCCTTATCACACTTGTCTGATTATTTGCAGGCACATGAATTCATATTAGTAGATGACTACCCTTCTCTGGACAGCGGCGTGGCTCACACTGCTTTGTACGCTGGTCAGGGGCGTGGTTCGAACAATTCGGGCGGTGGACGGAGCTCTAGCGACAATGGTGGCCGGAACTCGAATCGTGGTGGCGGTCGTGGAGGCCGTGGGAATCAGCGGTGCCAAATTTGCCGCTCTCACGGTCACACGGCCGTATATTGTTTTAAAAGGTATTCCACGCAACCACCCTCTCAAGCGCACGTGGCCGTGTCCGATGAGCCACCGTCGACCTCCGTAACGCATGCTTCGGATGGGTGGTATCCCGACACCGGGGCTACCGCGCACGCAACTCCCGATGCGTCAATGATGGGTAACTCCGAGGAATATGGTGGGCCGGATGTGCTTCGTGTCGGCAATGGGGCAGGTTTGGCTATCTCAAGAGTCGGTCACACGTCTATTCTGTCCAAATCTAAAACCCCCCACTTAAATGATGTGGTACATGTCCCGCGTTTGTCTGTTCCTTTGTTGTCCGTTCATAAATTTACTAATGACAACAAAGTGTATTTTGAATTTCATAACGATTCTTTTTTTGTGAAGGATTCCACAACCAAGGCGGTTCTACTTAAAGGGTCCACTTCTGGCGGGTTGTACAAGTTTCCAAGGTTACGATCACAATATGCGTTCGTCAGTTCTCGTGCCACTCCCACCGTCTGGCATAACTGGCTTGGTCACCCGCACAGTCAAGTTTTAAATAAAGTCTTGAAAAGCTGTCCCGTCACAATCAATAAAAGCACCACTCCCGAGCAATTTGCATCGTGTCACCTGGGCAAATCGTCTCGCTTTAAACTAGATAGTGTTTCTTATTCCAGTGACAATGTACTCGATTTAATTTTTACCGATATTTGGGGTCCTTCCCCTGAACTATCTAGTAGTGGTAATCATTATTTTTGTTTATTTGTAGACGATCATTCCAGGTTCTGCTGGTTTTACCCATTAAGGGTGAAATCAGACATATATAAAGTTTTTGAGTCTTTTCGTGTCCTGGTAGAGCGGCAGTTTTCGCGCTCTATCAAGTCAATTCAGTCCGATCTAGGGGGTGAATACCGCAAACTCCATACAATCTTCCAATCTCTAGGTATAAACCATCGCCAATCATGTGCCTATACACATGAACAAAATGGCAAAGTCGAACGCCGTAACAGGCATGTAGTTGAAACAGGCCTTACCCTTCTTGCTGAAGGCAAAGTCCCGCAACAATACTGAGACTACGCCTTTGAAACAACAACATGCTTAATCAACTACTTTCCGTCATCAGCAATTAACTTTGAAAGTCCATACACCCGCTTATTCAAAACACCACCACCCTATAATTTCCTACGTGTCTTTGGGTATCGATGCTACCCACATCTCCGTCCATATAATCGACACAAAATCGAGTACCGCTCCATTCCTTGCGTCTTCCTTGGTTACCCACCCTCCTTTAGGGGATACAGATGTGTTGACTTGGCAACTGGGAAAACCTATATCTGCCGCCATGTGCGTTTTGACGAGACTAACTTTCCTTTTGCAACAGGAAACTACACACAGGTATCTACACCTCCGGAGATACCTTGGGCGGTTGCACCCTTGTGTCTACCAGCACCAAGTAGTCACACTGCACCGTCTAATACTATGCAGTCTGAAAGTGAACCATTACCACTAGCGAGGGCTCCTCCTCAGTTGGCAATCACACAGACTGCTCTGGTACGACCTCGCAAACGGCGTGCACAACTGCAAGGTCGTGATCATGTTATGCGTCTTCGTCATATGACTAAAGGCACATCGGAACCATTCCATGCCTTAACAGCAGTCACTGATCCCACTTGTTACTCACAAGCTGTAGGGCATCCACACTGGCGAGAGACCATGGATCAAGAGTTCAACGCTTTATTACATAATCAAACTTGGCGTCTGGTCCCTCCAGAACCACACATGAACATAATAGGGTGCAAGTGGGTATTTCGGACGAAGCGCACTGCAGATGGGTCAGTTGAACGGTACAAGGCTCGGTTGGTAGCCAAAGGGTTCAATCAGGTGGCAGGTGAAGACTTCTTCGATACATTCAGTCCAGTTGTTAAACCAACCACGATGCGACTCTTGTTTTCTCTAGCCGTAACCAATAAGTGGACTCTACGACAACTGGATGTTCACAACGCTTTTCTGAACGGTCACTTAGCAGAAACGGTTTAGATGAAGCAACCACTGGGGTATGAGGACCCATCTACACCAGGGCATGTTTGTCATTTACAGCGGTCACTGTATGGTCTTAAACAGGCCCTTCGTGCTTGGTTTAAGCGGCTTCACGATTTTCTGTTGTCGGCGGGGTTTAAGTCATCAAAGACAGATGTATCCTTATTCTACTACACTTCAGGCATTGCGCGTGTCTATCTACTCTTTTATGTTGACGATATAATTATGATGGGAAATGATAGCACGCTAGTTGATACTATCCTACAGCGGCTAGCCTCTACCTTCAAGATTCGGGATCTAGGCTCACCGGGTTTCTTCTTGGGTATTGAGACTGTTTCTTCTACTAGCGGTATGTTTCTGTCGCAGCGACGCTATATGACTGATCTGTTAGGTCGTTCAGGTATGGTTGACTGCAAGCCTCTTACTATGCCGGCAGCCGTCACAAAGACCGCTACACCTTCCGCTCAACTCTATGATAATCCTACTCAGTATCGGCGTATAGTTGGGGCGCTACAGTACTTAACCATTACGAGGCCGGATTTGAGTTATGCTGTGAACCGTCTGTGTCAATTTATGCACGCACCCACTGAGGAGCATTGGGGTATGGTGAAGCGAGTTCTGCGGTATGTTAAGGGCACTCTGAGTTATGGGCTTCGGATTTCTCCGTCTGCATCATCCGACATTCACGCTTATTCAGACTCTGATTGGGCTGGTTGTCCTGTGGATAGGAAAAGCACGAGCGGGTTTGCTGTCTACCTAGGTGATAATTTAATCTCCTAGTTCTCGAAGAAGCAGCGCACTGTAGCTAGGTCCTCCACTGAGGCTGAATACAAGGCCTTAGCTAATGTCTCTGCTAAGGTCACTTGGGTCGTTTCATTACTGCGCGAGCTTGGGTTACATTCCGGGAAGCCTGCAATGCTCTGGTGTGACAATCTAGGTGCTACGTATCTATGTGCCAATCCGGTTTTCCATGCACGTACAAAACATGTGGAGGGAGATTATCATTTCGTCCGTGACAATGTAGCTTCAGGTGACTTCCTCGTCAATTATGTTTCTACGACAGATCAGCTTGCAGATATCTTGACGAAACCGCTACCTGCTCCGCGGTTTGCTGCCATGCGTGACAAGCTCAATGTTGTTGCCCTCCAACCTTGTGCTTGAGGGGGTGTGTTAGTATAAGTTATTATTTCCTTTATATGTTTTATATTATGTGGCTTAGATAGCTTGACTTAGTTTAGCTATTTGATAGGATTAGTTAGAGTTAGATATACTCTGTAATCCTGATGTTACGATCATTAACAAAATCCTTTCTCCAATCCAACAAAAAGATGATGATGAATTGACGGTGACAATACAAATGTAATAGATGAATTTAAATTAAGTGTTTTGAAGATAATACATATGCTTTACTGTCCACAGAATGATATCACGAAATGGTCGCACAAAGTATAAAAGTGGCGTGTTGATACAAATAAAGTTTTCTAAATTAAAGTTGATATAAACTCTTATATACTATGATTGAAATTGCACTAAGCAGAATAAGATAATATTATCTTGATATATTTGTGATTATAAAGAATTAATTATATATCTATTTCATATCATTGATCAACAAAAAGATTATGATGAATTAACGGTGACAATACAAATGTAATAGATGAATTTAAATTAAGTGTTTTGAAGATAATACATATGCTTTACTGTCCACAGAATGATATCACGAAATGGTCGCACAAAGTATAAAAGTGGCGTGTTGGTACAAATAAAGTTTTCTAAATTAAAGGTGATATAAATTCTTATAGTATGATTGAAATTGCACTAAGCAGAATAAGATAATATTATATTGATATATTTGTGATTATAAAGAATTAATTAAATACCATTCTAAATAAAAAAAAATTATAAAAAATAAATTAATGATGTTGGCGTTTAGGGATATAGTATAAAATTATTAATATCTACCCAGTAAATTAATTCAAGATGATGATATGTGTATTATGTAATTTAAAAATCTATTTCATTTCACCGACAAAAAGACTACGATGAATCGACAGTGACAATATAAATGTAATAGACGATGTATTTAAATTAAGTGTTTTGAAGATAATACAAAATATTATAAGAAAACCATTAAAGTTACAAAAGAAATGATAAATATGATTATCTTAACAAATTTATGATTAAAATAGTAAAATACAATACTAAACAAAATATTTTAATCTAAAAAGTGCGAAACAACAAATGATGAGAGGGTTTCTGGGGTGAGAAAAAGATTATATATATATTGCAGTTTTTACTCAGATTATACAGTTTTCTGAAGGTGATACAAACTCTTATAAAATGATTAAAATTTCACTAGAATAGGATAGAAAAGTTGACTATCTTCATATATTTGTGATTAAAGATTATTAAATACAATTCTAAATAACAAAATTTAATTTTAGTAAAATAGGTTAATGATGGTGGGTTTAGAGATAATATAAAATTATTACGGAGTAATATCTATTCAAAAAATAATTTAAGATGTTGACTAGTGTATTATGTTAGATTGTCAAAAAAATCAAAAGATCTACTTAATATTGCCCAAAAAAAAAGATTATGATGAATGTACATCGGTGACAATACAAATGTAATAGATGAGTTTAAATTAAGCGTTTTGAAGATAATACAAAATCTTATAAGAAAATGTGTAAAGTTACAAATAATAATAATTGTAGTCTCAATAAGAAAATTTCATATAATTAAGCATTTTGAAGACAATACTAAGACGATAAATTTGGTTATCTTTATAAATTCTTTATTTAAAATTATAAAATATGGCGATGAAAGCGTGCAATTCACGTGTCTTAGATCACTTTTGACTTCATATAATTAAGCATTTTGAAGACAATAATAAGAAAATAAATGTGATTATCTTTATAAATTTTTTATTTAAAATTATAAAATATGGCGATGAAAGCGTGCAATTCACGTGTCTTAGATCACTTTCGACGTAGAATTATTCAAAAGTCAAAAGTGAAAGCCCCCCTCCAAGCAATAAATGCACCTTATATAAGCGGGTTCAGGGACACATGCCAAGGTTGGTTACTTCAATCCGAGAGTTCAATTTGGGATGCTTGTGAAGCGAGGGAATCATCACTTAGAATCAAACCCAAGTTATCCCAAAATTTCCCCCTATAAAGAAAGTTCATTTGCCACTTTAGCTACCACCCCAGGTTGAGGTTTTTATCACTCTGATCACAAGTATATTCTTCCCAGTCAAGTATGACTGAGAGACCTGGAAACGTTTCAGATAGACTTGGCTTCGTTTGGTTCTGACCAATTTGACCCATAAGACTCTAGTCGTGCCCGTATAATCTCTATCAGGAAGAAGCCTCAAAATCTAATTCAAATTCACACATAGAAATACTTTAATGGATTTAAATGTAAATGTAGAAGGTGATATAAAACCTTATAAAATGATTAAAATTGCAGTCTAATGTGATAATAAATATGATTATTTTGATAGTTTTTTTAGAAAAAAAAAAAAAGTAAAGTTCTAAATAATTAAATTTACTCTCACAATTTATAAATAAGTAAATATTGGTAATCCTTAAAAAGTTTTAGAGACATACAAAGCTTATTTACTACGCACACGTTATATGAAGATATCACTGCATCACTGCATGACTGCACACAGTATGAACGTGGCATGTTGATACAAATAAAATTTTATGAAAGTGATACGAACTCTCATAAAATGATTAAAATTTCACTGCCCGCATGGGTAGCTCAACTGGTTATAGAGGTGAAACTTTGGAAGAATGATCAGGGATCGAGTCCCATCAACGGCAGTGTGGAGCAACCTCTCAAAGTGAGGGGGGCGCAATGAGCACCGGTCTAGCCTCTGTAATTAATGTTCAGTTGAGTCACCATCTAGAATTAGACAGAAAATTTGATTATGTTGATATATTTGTGATTAAAATTATTAAATACAATTCTAAATAACAAATTTTAGTAAAATAAGTTGTTGATGGTGTTTAGAGATATTATAAAATTAGTAATATCTATCCAAACAAATAATTTAAGATGTTGACTGTGTATTATATTAGATTGTCTAAAAATCAAAAAATTTACTTCATATCATCCACAAAAATTTTATAATGAATCAATAGTTACAATACAAATGTAATAGATGAGTTTCAATTAAGTGTTTTGATGATAATACAAAATCTTATAAGAAAATGAGTAAAGTTACAAAATAATAATAATAATAATAATAATAATAATAATAATAATAATAATAATAACAATAATGTTATCATTTTGATATATTATTGTTACATACTGAAATTTAGTACGCAATGGAAGAAACCTTTCGAGCAGGCTTCTGGCTCCTAACTATATTCGAGTCACGGCAAACTCCAATTTCACACTTTGAGCGTGAGGGCTCCAAGAAGAATAGTTAAAATAGAAGAATCAGAATATATTTTTCTCTTTCTTTATCTTCATATACAATAACCTATGTATACTAATTTACTAATACCTATAATAATTAACCTAACAAAACTATACTAATTATACAAGGTAATCATATATTCTAATATACATAATTTCTCCATACTAATATTTAGTCAATTATACTCTAATTACATATGATTCAGTCCTTGTAGATCGTCCACTAATTAAATCACCAATTATTTCTTTCCTTTGTTGCGTATAATATATTTTTTTTAAAATTAAATAAAATTCTAAATAAAAAAATTCATATAATTAAGTATTTTTAACATAATACAAAATCTTATAAGAAAATGATTAAATTTACAAAAAAAAAAAAAAAAAAAAAAAAAAAAAAAAAAAAAAAAAAACATTTCACATGTCTTAGATCACTTTAGCCTTAGAATTATTAAAAGTGAAAAGCCCCTTCCCCCTCCCCCCCCCCCTCCCCCCCCCCCCCAAAGCAATAAATGCACTTTATATAGGCAGGTTCACAGACACATGTCAGGGTTCTTGCATGTCTTACACGTGTAGGGTGTGACTTAGACGGTCAGCGGATAGCGCAAAGTGTCGTGAGAAAACTAAAAAGAAGATTAGACATGAATTGATTACTTCTTCAATCCGAGAGGTCGGTTTGGGATGCTCGTGAAGCAAGATCTTTATTACTCTGATCACAAGTATATTCTTCTCGGTCATACTTGACTAGAGACATGGAAACATTTCATATATGCTCGGCTTTGTTCAGTTATGACCAGTTTGACCCATAAGACTCCAATTGTGCCCATATAATCACTATTAGTAAGAAATAACAAAATATAATTCAAATCCGCACATAGAAATATTTCAATTGATATAAATGTAAATGTAGAAGATGATATTATGAAATGAATAAAATTGGAGTGTAATGCGATAATAAATACGATTATTTTGATAAAAAAAATTTTTTAAAAAGAATAAAGTTCTAAATAAGTAAATTTCATCCAAAAGTTATAAATAAGTAAATACTCATAATCTTTAAAAAAAATTTAAGAACGTACAAAGCTAATTTACTATACACGGGAAGATATCACTGAATGACCGTACAAAGTATGAAGATGGCATGTCGATACAAATAAAGTTTTCTGAAAATGATACCAACTCTCATCAAATGAATAAAATTTCACTAGAATAAGATAGAAATTTTGATTATCTTGAGATATTTGTGATTAACAATTATTAAATACAATTATAAATAATAAATTTTAGTAAAATAAGTTATTTAGAGGGAGCTTGGAGATATTATAAAATTATTAATATTTATTATTAAAAAAATTCAAGATGTTGACTAGTGTATTATATTAGACGGTAAAAAAATCTATTTCATATCGCCAACAAAAAAATTATGATGAATCTGGGTGGCAATACAAAAGAAATAGATGAGTTTAAATTAAGCGTTTCGAAGATAATACAAAATCTTATAAGAAAATGAGTAAAGTTACATATAATAATAATAATAATAATAATAATAATAATAATAATAATAATAAATGTGATCATTTTGATATTTCTTTTTTTAAATTAAATAAATTTCTGAATAAGAAAATTTTATATAACTAAGCATTTAGAAGATAATACAAAATCTTATAAGAAAATGAGTATTTTACCAACAAAAAAAAAAAAAAAAAAAAAAACATGATAAGAGGATAAATATGATTATCTTTACAAATTTATGATTTAAATAATAAAATACACTTCTAAACTCCCAAAAAACAAAATCTAAAAGCTTATCATTAACAAATAATGGCAGAACGTGCAATTCGCGTGTCTTATATCACTTTAGCCTTAGAATTATTGAAAGGGAAACCCCCCCCCCCCCTCCTCCCCCCTCCCCCAACAATAAATGCGCTTCATATAGGCAGGTTCGGAGATACATGTTGGGGTCCCCGTATGTCTTACACATGTAGGGTGTGAGTTAGTTGGTCAGGGAGTCTATGCCAAGTGTCGTGAGAAAATTGACCGGAGATCTGGAAATGTTTCAGATACTCTCAACTTTGTTCGGTTCCGATCGGTTTGACCCATTAGACTCCGGTCATGCTCGTATAATCCCTATCATTAAAAAATATATATCAAAATCTCATTGAAATCCACACATAGCAATATTTTAATGGTGATAAATGTAAATGTAGAAGATGATATAAAACCTTATGAAATGATTAAAATTGCAATGTAATGTGATAATAAATATGATTATTTTGATAGATTTTTTTAAGAAAAAAAAAAGTAAAGTTCTAAATAAGTAAATTTCATCTAAAAAGTTATAAATAAGTAAATATAGGCAATTTTTAAAAATTTTTAAGAACGTACAAAGCTAATTTACTACCCACATGAAGATATCACCGAATGACCGCACATAGTATAAACGTGGCACGTCAATACAAATAAAGTTCTATGAAAGTGATACAATTTCTCATAAATAATTAAAATTTCACTAGAATAAAATAGTAAATTTGATTATCTTGAAATATTTGTGATTAAAAATTATTAAATACAATTCTAAATAAAAAAATTTTAGTAAAATAAGTTAGTGTTGGATATCAATCCAAAAAAATAATTCAAGATGTTGATTAGTGTATTATGTTAGATTGTCAAAAAATGCAACTTCATATCCCACACAAAAAGATTATGATGAATGGACAATGAAAATACAAATGTAATAGATGAGTTTAAATTAAGCGTTTTGAAAATAATAATAATAATAATAAAATAAATAACGTTATCTTTATAAATTTTTTATTTTTACACTAATAAAATATGGTTCTAGACCCACACCCCCCCCCCCCCCTCCCCTAAAAAAAAAAAAAAAAAAAAACTTATCTTCAACAAATAATGGCAGGACTTCTTTTTGGATGAATGCGTGCAATTTCCGTGTCTTAGATCACTACTTTAGGCCCTAGATTTATTGTTCAAAAATCTCATTATTGATAGAATTTATCATGATATATAAAATAAAAATAAAAAAATAATAACACATTTCCATTGCTTGAAAATACAAAATAATAGTTGAAATTTGTTCATAAAAATAATTCAAGATGCCAACTCTTATATTTGTAAGATGGTAGGAAATCTCAAAATCTAATTCAAATCCACACATAATGGATGGATACACATGTAATTGTAGAAAATGATATAAAATCTTATGAAATGACTAAATTAAAATGCAATGAGATGTGATAACAAATGTGCTCATTTTGATATATTTTTAAAAAATTAAATAAAGTTCTAATTAAGAAAATTTCATATAATTAAGCGTTTTGGAGATAATGTCAAATCTTATAAGAAATTGAGTAAACTTACAAAAGAAAAAAAATAAATATAATAATACGATAAATCTATTATCTTTATAAATTTATAATTTAAAATAATAAAATACAGTTCTAAACCCAAAATAAAATAATCTAAAAGTTTATAATCAACAAATAATAGCATAGCTTCTTTTTAAATGAAAGCGTGCAATTCACGTGTCTTAGATCAATTTAGTCTTTAGCCCTAGAATTGTTGTTCAAAAATCTCATTGTAGATAAAATTAATCACCATATATAACAAATTAAACTTACACATGTGTAATGCTTGAAAACGCAAAATAATACTTTTATACTTGCAACTTGTGCATAAAAATAATTCAAGATGACAACTCTTATATTTCTAAGATTGTAGGAAATCTCAAAATCTAATTTAAACCCACAGATAAAAATATTTCAATGGATGTATACAAATGTAATCGTAAAAAGATGATATTAAAACTTATGAAATGATTAAAATTGCAACGAAATGTGATCATTTTGATAGATTTTTTAAAATAAATAAACAAATTTCTAAATAAGAAAATTTTATCTTAAAAGTTATGAATAAATAAATATTGATAATCCTTAGAAATTTTCAAGGACATACACAAATCTACTTTACCGCCTACACAATAATATCACTAAATGACCGTACACAGTATAAAAGTGGTGTGTTGTTACAAGTAAAGTTTTGTAAAGGTGATATAAACTCTTATAAAATGATTAAAATTGCACTAGAATTAGATAGTAAATTTGATTATCTTGATATATTTGTGATTATAAAGAATTAAATACCATTCTAAACAACAAATTTTATTAAAATAAATTAATGATGTTGGTGTTTAGGGATAGTATAAAATTATTAATATCTACCCTGAAAAGTAATATAACTAATCCAAGATGATGATATATGTGTACTATGTAAGATTATCAAAATTTTAAAAAATCTACTTCATATTATCGACAAAAAGATTATGATGAATTGATGGTGAGTGGTGACAATACAAATGTAATAGAGAGATTTAAATTAAACATTTTGAAGATAATACAATATATTATAAGAAAACGAGTAAAAATTTTTTAAAAAATGATAAATATGATTATCTTAATAAATTTATAATTTAAAATAGTAAAATATAATACTATTTTAATCTAAAAAGTGGGCAATAGCAAATGATGAGAGAGCTTCTCGAGTGAGAAAAAGGTTATATATGTTGACAGTTTTTACTTAGATTATAAAGTTTTCCGAAGGTATATCTCATAAAGTGATTAAAACTTAACTAGAATAAGATAGAAAATTTGATTATCTTGATATATTTGTGATTAAAATTATTAAGTACAATTCTAAACAACAAATTTTAGTAAAATAAGTTGACGAATGACGATGGTGGGTTTAGAAATAATATAAAATTATTGATATATATCTTAAAAAATAATTCAAGATGTAGACTAGTGTGTTATGTTAGATTATCAAAAAATTTAAAAAATCTACTTCATATCACCCATAAAAAGATTATGATGAATCCACGGTGATAATACAAATGTTATAGATGAGTTTAAATTAAGTGTTACAAATTTTTTTATCTTTAAACTAATAAAATATGGTTCTAAACTCAAATAAAAGTAAAAACTTAAAAGCTTATCATCAACAAATAATGACATGACTACTTTTTGGATGAATGCGTGCAGTTCACGTGTCTTATATCACTTTAAGCCCTACAATTATTGTTCATAAATTTCGTTGTAGATAGAATTTATCATGATATATAAAAAAAAAATACACATTTCTAATGCTTGAAACACAAAATAATAGTTGAGTAAAAATAATTCAAGATGACAATTCATGAACTCATATATTTGTAAGATTGTAGGAAATCTTGAAATTTAGTTCAAATCCACACAAAAATATTTCAATGGATGGATGCAAATGTAATTGTAGAAGATGTTATAAAACCTTATGAAATGACTAAAATTGTAATGAAAAGTGATAATAAATGTGATCATTTTGATATATTTTCTATAAAAAAAATTAAATAAATTTCTAAATAAGAAATTTCATATAAGTAAACGTTTTGAAAATAATACAAAATCTTATAAGAAAATAATTTATATTGAAAATAAAAGATAATAAGACAATAAATGCAATGTGATTATCTTTATAAATTTATGATTTAAATAATAAAATACGATTCTAAATTCAAAAAATAAAATCAAAAGCTTATCATCAACAAATAATGGTTGAATTTCTTTTTGGATGAAAGCGTGAAATTATCGTGCCTTAGATCACTTTATCACTAGAATTATTCTTAAAAAGTCTCATTGTAGATAGAATTAATCACGATATATAAAAAATCACACATGTGTAATGCTTGAAAGCACAAAATAATATCTACCTAGAAAAATAATTCAAGATGACGATTTGTGTGCTAAGTAAGAGCATCTCCAACGGATGCTGCAAAACGGTAAATTGTCCCCAAAAAAAAAAACGCCAAATTCGATCAATCTCTAGTAGGGACGGAAAAACGGCAAATTTTTGCCGATTGTGAATATTCACTTGTTTTTTTTTTTTTTTTTAACTTTTATATTCATGTTTTATCCCTGTTCTTTTTTCTTAATTCTTTTTGTATCCTTTATTTTGTTTTTATGTATATATATATATATATATATATATATATATATATATATATATATATATATATATATATATATATATATATATTGTTAAATACTTATACATAAATTTTATATTACTAAACATAAATTATACCATTTGAATGATCTCATTGAGACGATTAAAACGAGACTAATATTGAATATAAATTAATTAAAAATTAAACTACATAAAACATAATTTTAACAAAATTAAAGCAAATTACATCTAAAATTAATTTAATTATAATTATATTGTATATTAAAATATTTAAAGTTTTAATTTATAAGATTACAAATTATTTTAGTGAAGAAATAAAAATTTTGGTGTAATGGGTTGGAGATGAAATTTTTTTGATGTAAGAATATGTTGAATCGGTGTCAAATTTGGTGCATAATTTGGTATTTTGAGTTGGAGATGATCTAAGATTGTCAAAATAATTTAAAAATCTAACAAAAAGATTATGAATCGATGGTGACGGTACAAATGTAATAGATGGGTTTAAATTAAGCGTTTTGAAGATGATATTCTTCCCAAAAGGTTGAATCCTCTCCCCCAAGGTCCCCGACACCTCGGCCCGACAAAGCATCTGACATGCTAAATCTTTAGTTACTGCGCACAATGAGATAAATGTGACTGAGTTAATAAATTTATGGTTTAAAATAATAAAATATTCATTCCGTGCATCCTCCGGGCGAAAATACTAATACAATACTATAACAAAATATTTTAATCTAAAATAAAAAGTGAGATGACAGGGGTTGTGGAGTGAGAAAAAGATTATATATATTGACAGTTTTTACTCTAATTATACAAATCCATTTTTCCAATAAAAGCAGTAACATTTGAATATTTATTTTTCAGTTTTGAGTGTAACATTGGCAAGTATAAAGCCATATGATAGCACAAAAAGGCATTTCCCTTTGGCCTTTGCACCCCCACCCCTTTCTCTCTTGCTTTCTGCACCCCTCTAGCCCCACTCTGCTCTTCTTCTCGTTGAATTCGCCATTGCAGAGAGAAAAGAAAGAATCTTGGGGAACAAAGGAAATGTTATCAAGAGTGACAAGCATGGTATGGATGGATGGGAAAGAGGAAGAACAAACGGGTTCTTGGGCACAGAACAACAACAACGGCTGCACAAATGGCGGCGGCCACCACCACCATAGCGGTGGCGCCGGAGGAGGGTTGGCGGGCAAAGAGGAAATGGAGATGGCAACGATCAAGTCCATGCTGGAAGCTGAGGATGTGGAGTGGTACATGGCTAGCCATCACCATAGCCACAATGGTGCACCCATGCAAGGCCATGGGAGCATCTCTTTCTCTACGAATTTCTCTGAGCCTGACAACAATCTGATCTTGAACCCAGTGGATTCCTCTTCCTCTTGCTCTCCCTCTTCTGCTTCAGTGTTCAATGCTCTTGACCCTTCTCAGGTTCACTATTTTTTGCCCCACAAGCCCACCATCATGACCCATCCCTTGGATCAGGGTGGGTTTGATTTGGGGTGTGAGAGTGGGTTTCTTGAAACTCAAGCTCTGAGCGGTTTGAGCAGAGGGGGAGGGGTTTTGGGTGGTGGGTTTGGTGATTTGAGCTGTCAGAACTTCTTGGGGGCTCCCAACTTGAGCTCTGTTCCTCAATTTGGTTCAACCCATTTGCTGCAAATTCCACACAATGGTGAAGGAGGAGGGGGGTTTGGTCCACTAGGGTTTGGAGAGGGGTGTGTGAACTTGAATGTGAATGTGAATGTGAATGGGAATGAGAATGAGAATGCTTTGTTTCTTAATAGGTCCAAGTTGTTAAAACCACTTGATAATTTTGCCTCAATTGGGGCACAGCCTACTCTCTTTCAAAAGAGGGCTGCTCTTAGGAAGAATCTTGGTAATTCTAGTGGGAATTTAGCACTTTTGGGTGGTGAAATTGGCCACACTTGTAGCAATCTTGATAGCGGCTTCGATAACAAGAATGAAGTGAATGAGAGGAAGAGGAAAGGGAGCAATGGGGGGGATGAATTGGAGGATGTGAGCATTGATGGCTCCAACTTCAACTATGACTCCGATGAGCTTGTCGAAAACAGTGGCAAGGTTGATGAAAGTGTCAAGAATGGTGGAATTAGCTCCTCCAATGCCACCGGGGCCGACCAAAAGGGGAAGAAGAAAGGGCTTCCAGCCAAGAACTTGATGGCAGAAAGGAGGCGTCGCAAGAAGCTCAACGACAGGCTTTACATGTTGAGGTCTGTCGTCCCAAAGATTAGTAAGGTAAAATTCTTTGCAGCAAGTTCTCGTGAATTTCAACATGTTTTAGCAATTCACATTCATCAGTCCTTTTGCTTCCCTTTCGATTTTGAATTTTCTTGCTTGCTTGTGTAATTTGATTTTATGAATTACTCGACTGTGCTATTCAAAAGATATGCTGATTAATTTAAAAGTATTGATAGCATTAAATACACTCACATGGAGTTTATGAAATTATGTTCAAAAGCATCTTTAAGTTCTGGACCACAGACAGGGAGATAGACACTGCTATGCTTTGAAAGCTACTACTATACCAGTGAGCCCCATTAGTTATCCTCTTCAGACTTCAATGACATGCTGTAATGTCGAATTTGCTTCTTTTTCTTCTTCTTTTTTATTTTTTATTTTAATAATCTTTTGCATTGCTTTTTATACTTTCCCACTATTATATATTGCTCAAGAAACACCTAGTCTTTTGTGCAAAATTTAGTACCGTAATTAATCATTACTCTGAATTTTCACTAGAACAGACTGATTAAAACTTTAAATCCTAAAAAGACATTTTAAAATCTTTTGAATGGTTGGGTTTGTGAACTAAAGATGGCTTGCATCTTGGTTCAAAACTATTGCTAAGTTTCTAAAATCCAATGGCCTTGCTTTGAGAAAACATTGAAGAAAGATAGTCTGGTTTGTTCTGTCATGAATTTTTCTTCACGAGGGCTTGATATTTATTGTTTTTTAGTGCAATTCAAAGTTATGCAGATCGATACGTGACTTTGGTACCATAATGATTATGAGTTTAAATTGTAATTCTTGCGTATTGCAGATGGACAGAGCTTCGATTTTAGGGGATGCAATTGAATACTTGAAGGAACTTCTGCAGAAAATCAATGACCTCCACAATGAACTCGAGTCTACTCCACCTTGCTCCGCATTAACCCCTAATTCAAGTTTC